TTAATTGTACTTCCGTTCAGTTACGTATTGTACGCAATCCCGCAGTCTGCAGTGGTTTTCACTTCGCGGCCGTCGAGTTGTGGAATTATTAAATGTCCTGGCTGGGAGGCTTTGGATTTATGGCGGCTGTGAAGCGTGGGACAGCTCTACGGCTCTCAACTGCATTAACGAGCCAGTATCTGGCCTGGGATCGCTACTGTACATATTTTGTTAAAACTCCGAGGTGGAGGAGAGACGAATATTTCTGGAACAAAAAGACCACCGTAGCACCAGAACCACGCGAGAGACCAGTCTTGATATAAACACGACGTTTGCTGCTGAATTCACATTTTGCTGTGTATAAAACCAAACAAGCGAACATAATTATGAAGAGTAGGAATCAATAGTCTTTTCTTCAAGTTTCTTTTTCAAGCATTGTTCAAAGCAAAAACATCGAACCCAACTCACTGGAATTAAACAGAACACCTTAGCTACAAAATGGTCAAACTAAAGCTTCATAACTCTCCAGAATCTCATCAAATCTTGACTTACCTCATTCCTTGGTATTTGAAGCTTGAATTTCTATATTGGCGATATCAAACACATAAACAACCGAAAACAAGCACAATTGATCTCGATTGCATACTTCGAAAACGGTGGGCGTTATTTGTATCTCGCCCCAGTCCCGACGCGCAAATTTTTCATCCTGGCTGCGATCTCAAAACCATGTCCACCTTTCATAGCGGTTTGTGAGAAACAAGCTTTGTTGAATTTTTTTCCCCAGGTATTTGCTAAGAACAGTCTAACAAAGAACATATTTGAAGAAAGAAAAAAGTTTGATAGTAGAACTTGATTTTTGGAAATAGTTTCGTGTTGGTGTATTTAGTCAAGGCTATCTCATCCGATTACTTGGTCGTTATTACTCCCCTCAGTAACGTCTGAATCGACCAGCCGTTAATGCCGTCAGTGATGTCACCTCTGACCTTTGCTTTAATTCATGCAAAAAAGTAAACACGATTTTCAAGTTGCAAACCGAAATATCGTTTGGAAATATGCATGATACAGTACTGCTATCTTTCGATCGTAATTCATGTTTAACGTTCAAACTATCAACTGCATGCAGTACAACTCTGAACCAGTTGAACAAATTCTATAAACAAACTAGGTCGCAATCACGCAATGAAATAAAAACACACTAGGAACACAGTTCAAAACACAATGATTTTTTAATTGAAAAAGCCTTTGGTCTTAACGAAGAAAAAAAAACAAGAGACAAGAAAGAAAAGCTAGCAAGAATCACCACACTTGACGGTAAAAACAGCAAGAAGGTCAGGTAATCCATAACATTGACCTCAGAAAACTTCGCGTAAACAAAATCACCGGCCGGCAAAACCACAAAGCGGCTCTAAATGAAAACCTACCGACTCTCTGCAATGATTTTTTTATTCGCAGTTCAATTTAGCATTTCAGTTTCGAGGAAAGGGCAATTTGCCGTTTAAGAATCAAAAGATTAAAGCTTATCGAAGGTTTTTGAACTAAGCGAAAGAATGCCAGGGATGCGATCCGCTGAATATATCAAAGCGACAATCCGCTAAAATATTTCATAATTATACATAATGGTGAATTTTTAGACAATCAGCAATCAAAAATCACTACCCGGTTTTCGGGTAGTGGTGACTTATCACTGGACGGCATTAACGGCCGGTCGATTCAGACGTTGTTGAGGAGAAAACGACTCGAAGCAATCGGATGATTTCAGGCTAAGTCAAGGCGAGCACCTCAAGCTAACCACGGAACTGTCCGAAAAAGTGAAATATCCCCACAACCAGGCAATCAAAAACGAATTAAATAAAGCAATACTGCTTATTTGAATAAAGTAAGGACGCTTTATGTTCAAGAAAAAATTTTGTGTGTTTCGAATTTTTAACGCGCAACCAGTAAAAATACCCCAGTTTAAGAGCCGACTGACGCGTAAACAAGCACTGTGACCCCATATTTTTATTGCATTTTTTTAATGTTCATATCATCAATGTTGATCACGCCAAGTTTCAAAAAACGTTTGATAGTAGAACAAGGGAATTACCTTAAGCTGAAAAATTTCCGCTTGAGTGAAAACTGTCAGCGTTGGTTAACGTAATAATGACGAACCGATTGAGAGATGTCTATTGTTTATTGGACTACCACAGGTTCTAAATTTACCATCATTTTATTATTGTTTTATTAATTATTAATATCATTGTTTTATTAATTATTATTAAGTATCCAATCTGTTCTTCCATCATGTTAAGTTAGTTAAGTGCTTTATATCACCATCTGCAAGAGCACAGGAAAAAGAAAGATTAGCTTGAATTCAACCTAACACAAATGTGTGAAGAATGAAAATGAGTGACATGCACGAGGGAAGTAGGAAATATTTATAACAATAACGAGCCTGATGAAGGTAACGATGGCGTTGGTGATTAGAACTATAACAATGATACATGTGATACAATGATACAGTTCATGATGATGAATCTGACAATGACCACGAAAATAAAAATAACAATAACGATGATAATGATAATGACGATGATGACAATAATGATGATGATGATAACGATGATGATGATGATGATGATGATGATAACGATGACGATGATGATAATGATGGCGATGATGATGATGATTTTGATTGTGGTGGTGGTGGTGGTGGTAGTGACGATGATGACGACGACGATGATGATGATGATGATGATTTCAATTGGCCACTCCAGAAAATACCATAACATACCATAATGCTTTTTGATTGTCGCCCCAAAGTTTTGCATAAGCATTGTCTTCAGTTTCTCTTGGGAGTTAAAATGGCCCCAAGAGAAACTGAAAACAATGCTTATGCAAAATTTTGGGGTGACAAACAAAGAACATTATGGTATGTTATGGTATTTCTGGAGTGGTCAATAACGCAATTGCTGGTTTTCAGTATCACGCCATTCAAAATAGATAAAAAAAATAATCAAAACCATTCGATAGATAAATTCCAGAATCTAGGGAATGAAAGGAGGTAAATGTACAAAGACCCTCGCCAAGATTCAGGTCAGAGGAATATTTCGTATACGAGATGTCCGAAAAAATGATTTACCCAAATTCATAGAGATTTGTATGGAGACGCCATGCTGGTGCCATCCGGATGAGCACCAACATGGCGGACGGAAACCAACAGAAACATCTGTTACCGAGTTTTTCTACAAAAGCGTAAATTTACTCCTAGAGGATCTCATAAACACTAAAGTAATACTTTTTCTAATACATGAACTGTTTAGATAGCAAAATTCCCCGCAATACGTCACTTTTTTAACCTACGTGACAGCTCTCTCGGCCGTCATGTAAATGCTTCGTCACGCAAACGCTTAGAAATTCAAGAGTACTCCATTACAAAACCAAGAACCCTTTTGAAGCGAAAATTTGTTTGAAAATTAGTTTCAGCTGCTCTAATACACCATGAAAGTAAAATCTCCGTTGGATCGATAGTTTTGTGGTTTGAATTTTTAGTGACGTCATGTGAAAACCAACAATTGCAGATATTGATCCTCGACTTCTTGTGGAAGAAATACTACTAGGGAGATGGGTAATTCTCACAGTATACCAGACGAAAACAAAGAAAGATCTTTAGCTTCTACCTTTTACAATGAAGTATCTTAATATCTCCCTTTAAAGCAGAATGGTACTCCTGGTACGTGGTTGTCGAAACAGCAATTCTTTTGCTCGCATTCATCACGTTGGATTCCTACATAGCCGCACTCTTTTCGATCTCGATCACCAATTCCTTGGCATCTGTGACCTAATTTAAGAAAAAAGAATTAGACGAGACCAAGAAGATAAATGAAGTGGAAATGAGAAAGAACTAGGGATGGCTTTTTGGACAGTGGATTACTTCTTGTTCCCGTAAACAGCAAGTCAGTCTCCAGTTAAGTAGTTTCAAAATGCTTCTATCAATGCTGTCTTTCCGACTAATCTTATATCTTCTTATCTGTGGTTACTAGCAAAAGGTTCTTTTAGCACGATCCTCAGGGGCGGATCCCGAAAATTCAGAAAAAGGCGGTCAGGAAACTTGCCAGTTATATAGCTACTATCAATATTTTGTTTTAGAGAGTTCATCAAAAATAATACAAAATTGCACAGAAAAAAGGTTGGCTGCGGTCCACTAGGCCGGCCCCTAAATCTGCCCATGACCCTTGAAAAATTCTAGAATAAGTAGCAGCCTCTTTAAGAGCACAAAGTATATAGCCTGCGTTGCAGCCGGCCCACGCACCCTTCAAAACCATTTGTATAGTCCGTTTGCGAATTATTAGTGCACAAAAGCTCGTTCTAATATCTTGCAGAGTTGCAAGGATATATGTGAGCGTTTCTGATAGGAGTGTTTACGGGTTTCTTACGTGCCTCACGATTGGCCTAAATTCTTACGTGTGCCTGACGGTTGGGCGCAGTGACGTGTCAAAATTAACAGAAGGGACTTGGCAGGGATCAATGAAAGAGCAGTTCGAACTTGAAATCCAAAAAGATGCTTTGAGAGAATTCTTTCAAGGCCAGAATTTGTTTTTAAATTTGCCGACTGATTTTCCAGCGTCTTCCAATCGCTGCAGATGCGATGCCCCAAAAGAAACCTGCAACTGTAACTAACTGTGATCGAATCCTGCCAGAAAACATCTGCAGAAACATAAACCACAGGAACTAATTACTTAATATGCACGACACAGACCAGCTTTATAACTTCTAAATGTGAGACACAAAGCGGCAAAAAGAAGATTTGCTTGGTCAAATTGTAGAATACTCCATGTACTGCATAATCTAGAAAGAAAAACCGCTGTTGTTCAAGCTTACTGTAAGCTCACGTTTCACACAAGCATGAGTTCAAATTTCTCTTGCCAGGAGCAATTAGTCGTGTTTGGCCTGTCAACACTTAATTCAAATCGGACTAATCACAAATTTGTGTAAGAAACTAGCCAATCAAAATGCCGACATATGTCCTTGCGACTCTGGGGGATTCGAACACGATATTGTGCATTAATTCGCAGACGCTCTGTACAGAAGGTTTAGAGTGTCTGCGACGCAGGCTAAAAGTATAAGATTGTTATTTATTATTAAGACCAATCTGCCGTAAGGCCTTGCTAAATTCTGTTGATGAATCGGATGATGAGGCTCAAGAGACAAATGAAGTCATCGAGTCGGATGACAAGGCTCACGATGCAGATGAAGTCATCGAATCGGATGACAGGGCTCAAGATGCAAATGAAGTCATTGAATCGGATGACAAGGCTCACGATGCAGATGAAGCCATCGAATCGGATGACAGGGCTCAAGATGCAAATGAAGTCACCGAATCGGATGACAAGGCTCACGATGCAGACGAAGTCACCGAATCGGACGACAAGGCTCACGATGCAGATGAAGTCATCGAATCGGATGACAGGGCTCAAGATGCAAATGAAGTCATTGAATCGGATGACAAGGCTCACGATGCAGATGAAGCCATCGAATCGGATGACAGGGCTCAAGATGCAAATGAAGTCATTGAAGCGGATGACAAGGCTCACGATGTAGATGAAGCCGTCGAATCGGATGAAAGGGCTCAAGATGCAAATGAAGTCATTGAATCGGATGACAAGGCTCACGATGCAGATGAAGTCATCGAATCGGATGACAGGGCTCAAGATGCAAATGAAGTCATTGAATCGGATGACAAGGCTCACGATGCAGATGAAGCCATCGAATCGGATGACAAGGCTCACGATGCAGATGAAGTCACCGAATCGGATGATAGGGCTCACGATGTAGATGAAGTCATCGAATCGGATGACAAGGCTCACGATGCAGATGAAGTCATCGAATCGGATGACAAGGCTCACGATGTAGATGAAGTCATCGAATCGGATGACAAGGCTCACGATGCACATGAAGTCATCGAGTCGGATGATGAGGCTCAAGATGAGAAAAACGAGGCCGTTGAATAGGATTTAGTATAGAGCTTAGAAAGGGTGCCTATTCCTACAGAGGCCATGACGCTATTTCACAATGATTCAGTTATTATCTTGAGTCATGGTTCACGATTCACCTGTTATGTTCAATTTGGTATAAGCACGTTATAGAAGGGTTAATTGAAGAGGGTCTCAAAAAACTTTCTCTATATAGAATGAAATGTACACATTCGAAAGATAACAGATAACAGTATAACAGTTAATTATGCCTCAGTAGAATGGACTGACTTATTTTGTATGTTTCTTAAACTGGCTTTCTCCAAGCAGATTTGAGTGGACTCCCCTCTAAATTCTACCAAAATGTTCAATGATCCTCCACCTTCCCAGGCGATAAATAAATGGCTGGTCCCTAACTGAGCTAAACGTCGAACTTTCCATAAACTTAACTTACTAAGTTTGGACTTTTTTATAAAAAGTTCGACGTTTGGCTTAGGCCTCACCCTCTGGATAAAAACACCAAGGCCAAGGAGTGTCATATGCCCCAGGCTCTTCCTTCCAGCAACAGCATCTATCGTTGCACTCGTTTTTGGAGATGCCAATCCAGCCACAGTCAGTACGATATTGTTTCGCAATACCATCACATCTTCCACCAGCTTTTATTGAGGAAGAAAAAAACAGAAGGCTTAAAGCAAGAGCCATTACAGTAAATACGAGAGAAAACCGGTAATTAAGGGAAGCAATATGGAAAATGAATACTGTCTGTTAACTCTATCAAATTTTTCTAATGGGTAACCTCAGTGTTCCTCTAATCTAATTACTCGGACGCTATTATTGCCTAATATATAGATGTAGCCAGGGCTAAAGCGAAGCTCTCGTTGATATACTTATAGTTTACTCAAACAAAAAAGTAACATCGTGTTATGTTAAATGGCGACGGCAACGAGAACGGCTAAAAAATCAGCAGGTATAATTAGCAAAAAAGAAACAACTTTTTACGTGCAGCCCACTTTTCTTGGTACATTTCTTTGACTTTGTTTTGCACGACAGCAACGTGAAACTTCCTAGGCCTCGTCCACACGTATCCGGATATTTTTTAATCCGCTCTCCAGAGTGGAAATTTTTTAATACGCTATGAATCCGGAATCGTGTGGACGCTAAATCCGAATATTTTTTATCCGGTGACCTAACAGGATCGCGCCCAGTTCTTTAACGTGAATTCTGTATTCAAATGACAACCTTATTCCCAGGTTAGGAGAGTAGGAGAGGACCCTTTCCAATTGCTTGCGCTAACTTGCCCTTAATTGATATGGTAACAGCATTTAACGTAATAAGTCGCATGTTTTTTTTTTTTAAGCGAGTTTTAGTTCTTTTGATTAAACATGGACAAACAAAACTAATAGTACCATGATGGTAGTCTTTTTTTGCATGGTACTAGACTCTCCATCCCCGCCATATGCCACAATATTTATATCATCTTGTAGCACCAAAACAAAGCCCAGTGGGATCTACCCATCTCTTCCCTCCGTTTGTACCTCTGAGGGTTATGAATTGCTTGAACGTCCGATTGTTAAAATATAGTGAACATCCCTATGTATACGTAATTTAAAGTGCTCACCCAAAGTAGAAACCTCTGATGGATACGCTGTGGCAACGGCTGTAACAGGAGGGACGCTCGGCGGACTCGTATAGGTCTGTACTGTAACTGAGCTCGTGCCAATGGTACAGCTACATTGATCGCCGGGGTACTGAAGAAAACAGGCACTGAACAAGGCAATCTCAAATGCTGGGCTGGTTCCGACAAACAAACTGCTTCCTTGACGAGACGCCTTGGTCGCTGTTCCCCATTGGAAAGTAAGGCAACTCATGTAAGGAGGCTATATAAAATAAGATCAGAAGAAAACCCTTTCCATTCGGGAAAGTGAGCCACCTTGTAATTGTCTGCTGCCAGTCAGCACTTGAACTCGGATGTAGAAGGGGGGGAAAACTCAATTATCATTGAAGTTTGTTTCACTTCAAGTTTTAGGTAGTAGACCCTTCTCTTTCAACTTTTGACATGGACCAGTTACGGGAAATCTGTCGCATACCACTAGAAAGAGCGCCGGGAAGATAAGGCGCCTCAAAGTCGCGAATTTTTACAGACGTTTGCATGGGGGGGGCAAGTTTGCGAGCCCCACCATACAAACGTCTGTAAAATATTGCTACTTTGAGGAGCTATATCTTAGCTATTTTTAAACAAATCAACTTGTTAATTTAAAAGCGATTTTCCAGCGGAGTGGGTGGATTTTCCCTAACTTGTTCGTATAGATATACATTATAGATATGTATAAAAAGGAATAGATTTGCCATAGACATAGACATAGACGTAAGCGGCTGACAAAGATATAGACATAGATCAGTAAATATTGATATAGATGTTGATATAGACACAGATATACATATACATATAGACGTACACATAGATATGCATATAGACATAGACATAGTCATAGAAATAGATATAGATATTGATATTGATATAGATGTAGATATACATATACATATACATATACATATACATATACATATACATATTCATGAATACAAGAACCTATTTTGCACCCCAAGCAGAACAACTCAAATATTACTCATTCAAAATATTATGCCGTTTCTGATTGGCTCCAATCCCCCGGCTAATTCTCCATAGCCACATGCAAATAGGCAGTGCTTTCATTCCCTATCATTGGCTCTATTATCATACATATTGTGATGTAAAATATGCATATGCATTTTGACGTAGACATAAATATGCATAGACATAGACATAGATATAGATATAGATAATCGGTGACAAAATTAGTTAAGACACTTTGCCCTAAAGGGCGCTCTTGACGTTTTACCGACCTAAAAAGGAGAAAATAAAGCTTTTCCTCCCCAATCCCCTCCATGCAATGCTGTACCGCTGTTTGAACTACCTGTATAAAACAACAAACACCCCAACTTTGAGTGGATCGAGGGAGGAGGTGAGGGGTGTGGATTGTTTTGTTCTCTGAAACTACCCTTTTTGAGCAAAATGCCTCAACAATTTTGTTGCCAATTTTAAACATAATTGCCTATGTACTGTAGATTGCAGATGTTACACTCAATAATGTAAATAACCCATGATGACTGGCAGTTTACAGGGTGAAATAATTTAACGGTCTTATTCTTGTTACTGCTAGTAAATGTGGTGGTTTTGTTGATTCCTTTCCCTCAGCTGCACTTTGGTTTTCCGCATGCTTCGCAGCCTCTTGGTACAAGAGTGTTGTTAACTGTCTTGAACTTAGTACTCATGAGTCTATCCCGGAGACTTATTGGCCGTCTGTAAGCCACTAAGGGTGATTTGTTAAATATGTTGGCCAGTCTTTCTTTAGATTGTAGGAAGTTCCAGTTTCTTCTTGCAATCTATACAATAAAGGTGGTATGTGGGTTGAATGTAGTGACCAGGGGGATACGATCGGTAGATTCCCTGTCTCTGGTCTGTAGACATTCGTCTTGTGCCATTGTAAGGACTTTTTCCATTTCTCGTAAAACCTTGGTCCGTTGGTAGCCACATGCTACAAAGAAATCAGCGTATTCGGCTATCCTTTTCTTCAGTGTATCAGTGGAAGAACATATCCTTCTCAATCTCAATGCTTGGCTGTACGAGATACTTTGTTTGAGGTGTGGTGGATGTGCTGAAGTTAAGTGTAGGTATGGATGTGTGTCTGTAGGTATCTGATAGACGTCTGTGTGGATGTTGCCTTGTCTATCCTTTAGGACTGTCGTACCCAGAAAGTTAACTGACCAGTTAGTGGATAATTCGTGTGCAAATTTGATGCTGCGTTGTTCAGGTGGTCAATGAATACCGTTAAGGAGTCTACGTCCCCTTTCCATATTAAGAAGAAGGTCATCTATGTCATCTGTGGGTATGGGTTTATCATCTAGGTGTGTAAAAAAGCATCATTTTGTGTAAAAAAGCTGCTTTTTTGCAAATTGGACGGTTGTCAAAATACTGCTTTTTTACAAAAATATATTGTTGTAAAAAATACATTTTTGTAAAAAAACATGTTTTTTATAATCGAACAATTTGAGCCCTTAAATGCGTAAGGGAAAGATTTAACGACAGTTTGACAATTTCAGAGTTTATATGGAAACCACTCAAGCGTGACTGGGTGGCAAGAGTTGTTTTCCTCATACAAATCCTTCTAATTTGCAACTATCACACTTCATAATAATGAACAGTACCCATGTGGTTATGGAGAATTAGCCGGGGGATTGGAGCCAATCAGAAACGGCATGATATTTTGAATGAATAAAAATTGAGTTTGTTCTGTTTGGGGTGCAAAATAGGTTCATTGCGCACTTTTGTTGCAACCAGGAACTGTATTGGCTTTGAAAATGATGTAGGAACATTAGTTATCCCGCCACTCGCTTGTTCAATGAGGAACTGGTACCAGTTGTGAAAACCCTTGTAATCTTTTTTACTCAGGACCTTGTCACCTTAATTGCAAGAATAAAAAAAGGAGGAAATTACTCATAAAAGATAGGTCTAGATCAGGCTACGTTCTTGTAAAGATCGGGTCGGCTTGTAGGTCCTGCGTCGTTTGTGAGGCGAAACACGTACAGTCTGCAGCTGCGGGTGAGAGGGGGGGGGAGTAGAAATAAGCAGGTCCAAAATGTGCTCCTTCCACGTGAGCCTGATAATGAACCGAGTTAAAAGATTGGGTAATGCCCAGTAGCAAAGTGCTATTGGCAGCGTTATTTGAGATCGATAAAATCCGAATTTTGCGAGATCTAGATCCGACACAAGGGACTTAAAGTGAGGAGTTTAGCAAATAACCTCATCACCTAATCTTCACGATGTATATAATAATGTCTGAAATTTTCAGACAGTGAATGTTGTTACGCGGATTTTTGGTCGGTTCGCGGGCCAGGTTCGTCTTGAAATTTCAAGGTGTTGCAGTGAATCAATCTCAATGAAACTTTCAAACAATTGTATACATGATAAAGCCGTTATGAGGTGAGGTTTAAAACGAATGCTGTCGAGCCGTTCTAGAGATAAACAGAAAAGCGCTAAAATTCAAAATTTAGAATAGAGTTTCACTTAGCCAGGTGGTGACAAAAAGGGTTAGTTTTCAAGATCGCAAGAAAGAAAATACAGCAAAGTTTCCTAGCATCGAAATATGATACTATAGGAAAATTCATTACCTGACGAGGGAATTCCGCGTTAAATTGCAGGCGAAAACCGATATCGCACGAATCGCGAATAAATTGAATAAATTAAAATAAAAAAAAAAGAAAACAGCAACAAGATAGGATGACTACATGATCAGAACCACGTGACTGTTCATTTTTCCCGCGTAGTCCTGCGGCTACGGTGAGTTGTTGAGTTGTTTCGCATAGTCGCGACTACGGAGGTCGGAGAACAATTTGCTCGGATTTGGCTGTGTCGGTAATTCTAGAATCTCGTCTTCAGTTAAGTAAAAACGTTTTCAATTCACCTGTTTTAAGTGAGAGGGAAGCGAAACATGTACTACTTTGTGTCTAATGTCTGCTCAGATTTACGCTTTTTATATACTCGAAACACTTAAAGTTGTGACTACATTTTTATCTAAAACTAAAATAAGCTTAGCTGTTTATACGAAGAATTCAGATTGACGGCTGAGAACAGAAATCATGCAGGTAATTTATTTTCTCTTCGCACTTAATTAAAAAGTTTCAATGTTTGTTCGAAATGATTAGTGTGTCTTTCTACTTGTGTAACCTTTGTTTATGCGAGTTTTTATATCGCATTTGCTGAATGAAAATTATTCAAACACTTGAGATAATCGAAACTCAGCATTTCGATACTTCAAACTACATCACTAATCGGAGAAGTCCATCTTCTAAATCTAATAAATGAACTATTACTATTTCTGTTTATTTCTTTAATATTTGACTTAAGTATTCATGGGCGAAAAAATAAAATTGCGCAACCAAAACTTTTGTTCACCAAGTTCACTCGATGTAATTACTTCCCCAAGCATGGAAGAATTTGTTCATTATTCTTAATAAGATAAGAGCACATGCAAAATATTTGCATTTTTTGTGAACTGAACATGAAAACAAGAAAATCTTTGCGTGTTGTTTCCCTCTCCGCCTCTTCTCTCCAAGTCTATCTTAATTAACTTTCTATATTTGCACGACTCAACCAAGAGCTACAAACAAAGGATAACGCTCGTCCAGCCGTAGTTGGTAGTTCGTAGTCGCCTTATCTTAAAGTCCCTAATATCTTCGGAGATGATTATGGTACGTCTGTATAGTAGTGAGCCTGGCTCGTATTATTAAGGTATTCAACAAAAAAAATTCCTTGTTTGTTTTTGGCTCTTCAAAAGGTGACAATAGTTTTGAAAACATTTTAAAATGACGATGTAGAAAAACGTTTTTGTAGTTGTTGTGTTATAATTTGACGATAGTTGTTACGTATATGTAGATGCGAAACAATATCTCTTTGCCTCGTTTTCAACTAGCAATTCCACGCTAATTACCACGCTTCGTTAACCAATCGTTATTCAATTATGCGATTATAAGCAGAATTCTGACGCTACTTTAGAAAACTCTGTTCAGCCGGGCTTTTTTGGGGGGCTTCTTGCGAGTGGGGAGGGTCTCGAAGGCCCTTCCTCTTCAAAACCGCTCATCCAATGGCCTCCAAAATTACACACAATAATTTACTCATTATCTCCAACTTCTTGGAATAACTTGATTGACACAATGTCGAAATCTGACGTCATTATGATTGGATTTATTGTCAGAATACAAATTTCCCTCAAATTAGACATAAAGCGAAAATACTTTAATAAATAGTATGCTCTCTGATAAAATCAAGGAAGTTGGCAAACACATAAGTGATCTTTAATAATATCAGTGCGGTCATGATGATGTCTTTTATTACTAAAAAGGAACTGGAAACTTCCGCCATCTTGAATCCGCCATTTTGAATTATTTAAATGTATTCCATTTTACTTAAAAATCGTATAAATCGAGATATTTTTAACACAAAACTTAATCTGAGTATAAAAGGATGCTTAGGATGCAGGATGCAAAAAATTAGCAAAATATGAAATTCCGCGAGAAATAAACACTGTTGAAAATTTAAGTCGCCTTCTGCCATTTAATCGTATTAAATTCACGTTTTTTCCCATGCTAGTTACTAAAAAGCCTAGATTTCATTTAAAGTTTCAAAACTTTGATAAAATAATGCTAAATTAAGTGCAATATAATATTAATTATAACATAGCTAGAATATTCGGCTAATCAAATTTAATACCGCAAGCGTGCTTCTTATTCCCATTGAGCGCGCTGATGACGTCAATAATTTATACTATATGAGGTCTGAGGTCTTGTGAGCTTAGCAATCCTCCAAAGACGTCTCCTAAGTGCATCCATAACTCAACAGTACACGATTAAGCGTTAACCATGTGTTTTATAACATAAATTTAAGAGAAAACTTTTGAATTTGTTAACCGTACGGGAAAGAGGTAAGTTATTGTTGTTGTTATCATCTGCTCGAGCTGTGCAGGCGTGTACAAATCACTCTTTGCAAAGTTATTTCTTTCAAAAAGAATTTTTCGGCGAATTAATAGTTTTCCGGCACCTCAACATGGATTTTACAATCTTTTTTAATGTTATCTTAACCGACCTGAGTAAACTTTCCCTCAGTTTCAAGACAAAACATAACTGTGAGGTAAAAAAATATGGTAACGCAGACATTGACGCGTACTGCTTTGAGCGCGTGCTACAATAATAAAAATTTAAGTTACTGCTACATTGATTGCTTTGATAATGTTATAAAACAATTATTTCATGCTTCAGCTGTGCGTATGTCGAGATATTGAGCACTTGGAAACTTTGGAGAACACTCAAGAGGCTAGAGTTGCTCTCGGCTGCGCCCCAGCAACTCTTACGCCTCTTTCGCGCTCTCCAAACTTTCCGCGTGCTCAATATCTCGACATACGCACGCTGACGCATGAACTAACTGTTAAATTCAATCAGTGAAAATAGAAATAAAACCTATTTTGCAAATGTTTTAAAACATGGCTGTCAAAACTCTGTTGCCATGGTAACATCAATATTGATGTACACGTCACCTTGACTTTAAAATGTTCCCAGATAAATGTTAGGAAAAGTCGCTGAAGTTATTCAACATTTTAGCGAGGGGGTGGCGAGGGGGACTGGCTCAAAAGCCCCACCCGCTCTGACAACCGCTCTTGAAAATATAAGGTTTGAAATACATTTACGTTTTATTTGAATTCAAATAATGAACATCCAGAATTTTTTACCTCTCACAGAGGTTATTTATCGAACACCACACCTTAAGGTCCTGGAGTCGGATTTTCATTTGCAGGTCTAGATCTCGCAAAATTGGCCTTCTATCGATTTCAAAGTTTTTTGTTTATTGTTGCTTAATATATAATAATATCGATTCCGTGGTGAAAATTTTATAGCGATTGGACAAGGATAAAATAACTTATTGAAGATTGAAGAATAACGGTATAGTCTCCGGAAAACTGTATCGAAACACCTAAAAAGAAGCGTGGCTTGTGTCAGAGTCAGCGGGGACGAAAAGGTAGTTTTTTTTTATTATGGGAGCAATCCATTCAGACATGCAAGCGAAATATTATAAGGGGGAACGAAGGAAAAAGTGCGATTATGGCTGAAGATTATTTCCCTTCACTTGCATGGGCAAAGGGAAATCAGCTATTTGCCTGTCTTGCTTGGCCTTGCCGCCTGTCATACTTCTTATAGTGCAATTTATTTGAAGTTGAAAGGACTTCCTCGGTGGTACTCCCATATATGGGTTAGATAGGCATGTGCCGCCCGATAAGGTATGGTTTTTGAGGGTTCCGATCCTTAAATAGGGTATCATTTTTTTCCCTTGTTGGATTGTATTCGCGGTTTGATCCCTAGATAGGTACCTAAATTGTTTCAGCTGTAAAAAGATTCAAGTGCGTAAATGCCCAGCTACACTAGACACAAATCATCTGTTAATATACAACTATCCCCCGAAGGGGAGGTGAATAGTGGTGTAATACCGAGCCGTGAAGCGTCGAGGTATATATCTATCGCTATGAACCGACCCTGAGGAGGATAGTTGTTTTAGTATTTACCAAATCAGGTGGATAAAAATCAAAAAGGAACTTTTCGTAAATAAAAGACGTCACTTAGTTAGAGTTTGTTTATGTTTCAGTTAACAGTGTTTTGAGGATCATTTTTTGTGATTTTGCTGCAAATTCAGTAAGAACATTTTTTCTACCGACCAGTGAACACAACCATGCCAAATTTTGTCTCTCTTTGGTAATTGTTGGTGCACCTGCTTCATTTACCGTTAAATTTCATCTTTCCAAACCGATCGCGAAACAAGAAGCCATTTTTAGTCCCGTCCCAAAACAGTAAATATCCGAGGATATTCCGAGTTACGGGAGCAAATGAGAACGCAGGAAAATTGCTATCCACTGATACTAAAAAATACTAAAACTGAGCTATCCCTTAGAATATTATGAATAGTAGTACTTCATACGATTGAATTCTTAGCTTTTGTTTTTCCCTTGAATGGGGTGTCATTTCAGTGTTTTCCCTAGAATTATGGGAAGGCCAGGGGGAAATCCTGCCTGTAATTATTGTCAACAGTGTTTGTATGAAGCCTGCGGTAGCCGGAAACATAATTAAATAAAGATTCGGGAACTAACTTTTTCAAAAGCACAATTAAAATTAAACATTTCGTTAGCAGGTAACTGTTATTCTCCTGTTTTTCTGAGCCACCCAAATGTAAGCTGCTTTCTCAAATTCAAAGTCTTAAAGCTTTGTTCCATCAATACACTGACCATTAAAGTATTGTTCAGGATCCTGTTGCTACTTTGTAGCCAAGTTCTGATCCTTTTCAGAGCGGAGAATCCTCTACGGTTGACCGAGTTCTGCATTTTGACTCTCCTTTAAAAGTAAGGGCGGAAATTCACTTTAGCACTCAGTTTAAGCTCCTTTGAGGGCCCTTGTGTTTCTGGAATAATGTCAAGATACAATATTTCCTCGATTAATCGCCTCCCCCGAATAATCGCACCCCCCCCCTCCCTCCCTCCCCACCTCTCCTACCACTATTGTTGGTTTTCACATGACGTCACTAAAATTCAAACTACAAAACTGTCGATCCTATTGAGATTTTACTTTGATGATGTGTTAGAGCAGCTGAAAACAGTATACAAATTTTCGCTTCAAAAGGTTTCTTGGTTTTGTGATAGAGTACGCTTGAGTTTCTGAGCTTTTGCGTGACGAAGCATTTACGTGACGGCCGAGAGATCTGTCATGTAGGTTAAAAAAGTGACGTATTTCGGGAATTTTGCTATCGTAGCAGTTCATGTATTAGACAAAGTACTACTTTAATCTTTATGAGTTCCTGGAGGAATAAATTCACGCTTTTGTACCAAAACTCGATAACAGATGTTTCTGTTGGTTTCCGTCCGCCATGTTGGTGCTCATCCTGGTGGGCACCAGCATGGCGTCTCCATACAAATCTCTACAAATCTCTAAACATTTCTCCGGATATCTCTTATAAGGAATATTCTTCTCACGTGAATCTTGGCGAGGGTCTTCATGTACTTACCTCCTTTCATTTCCCAGATTCCGGACTTTACCTATTGAACGGTTTTAATTTTATTTTTCGATCTATCTTGAATGGCGTGACACTGAAAACCAGCACTAGGTAACCCGCTATCGATACCCACAGCGGTATATCTGGACGATGAGGCCGAAGAGGAGTCTGATTCAGCAAGACTGATCAGCGACGACGCCGAGGATATTTATAATGAAAATAAGAAAGGAACCAAATTTGGAACACTTGAAAAGCCCATGTTCAGTTTCTTTGCCGCGATTATTTTTTTGATTTAATGGGAAAATAGAACAAAATCTCCCAGTGGACTATATATGAAACTAGTAATAGTTGACACTACAGCTGCCCCCGCTCCGTATATTGTCATTTAATAGTATTCTTGCTCGTTGCGTAGCTCTTTGAAATATGCCGATTCATAATGAAGATGTTCACACATATTTCATACAATAGGTGAGATAAATACAGGAAATAAACGCAAGGTTCCACGCACAGTTTCGGTTCGATTTACACAGCTTTGATCAAAACATTCTCAGTTTCGAGAATAGTTTATTCTAAACCATAAGAAAAGATTTAATTAGAAGTTTAATTTTTAGCTATTTCTATTTCACTTTTTACATTTAGCTCATTTTATTTGCCGGAAAGTTAGCCTTAGAAATTAAAAGGACGTTTGATCAATTCACGCATTCTAGTCTTATTTTAAACTTTATAGTGGAAGGACATCTGTGAGCAGGGAATAAGTCAGCACAGAATTTGATTGTCGGCGAATTTCTGCAATCATCCATCGTTCTGTTAGTGATAAGCTAGCCGTTGAATCATTCACTCGTCTTGCTTGTTTTGGGCCAAGTCTTATTCCGGTTAAAGAAAGACAAAGAATGTCTGGCAAGGTTTCCAATCAAATATTTGTGAACTCGTGTCCAGCAAACTCACTTAGTGTTAAAACATACACTGTTCTACGCAACTTATAACTTCATCTGCGCTTAACGAGTGTCTTTTGGTCCATAACTTTCATAACAACTGCTCAACAGAATGTCACCGATAACACGTAACGCAAAGAGTATCGAAGTGTGACTGCACAATTAATATCAAAAAATCTACCTATTGTAAGCTGTTCCTTCGGGATTTTTTGTGTGTTACGTCATCCTAACTATTTCGTACTTGCGGGCGCAAACAATAGAAACGTCATCATTACCTACCGATTCCTAGCGGCCCCTGTTCAAGCAAATCGAGATTTTTTTTATATTGACTGTATGACTGTATATTTCAACTGTAAGTACTTTCCTTGATATACGCGCGAGTTACTAGAGTGCCTCCTCGATCGGGATTTCTCCTTCTGGGCGAAATCCCTGAGGGGGCAATAATCGCCTCCCTCGAATAATCGATCCCTTTTGGTGCGAAAAAAGAAATAATCGCCCCCGGTTATTATTCGAGGAAATACGGTAGCTGCCGTTCAGTGAAACGAATGCATCACAGGTTTGAGCAAATTGATCCCACGGAAAATCACTTTTATAATCAATTGATCATGAGAAAACACAAATGAAAACACCAGACAATGTTTCATCAACTTTTTTGAGTGATTTTGTCTTTGAATTATTTAGTTTTGATCTGTAACAAAGCTTCCGTTGGGTTAAATCACATTTCGTTTTAAAGCTAGGCAACGATTTTCCAGCGAATTAAGTAAGGCGGCCCACCTTGCCCTCAGTATCTAGTGTGAACACTACATTTTTTGCGGGTTTTGGGCCTTGACTAGTGTATCGACTTTTGTTTATCCCATCCTTAAATAGGGTCAGGGTTTAGGACCCTGGGCGGCACACACAACTATCCAAAATTAACAGGAGTACCCCTGGGGCTTACCACGGGTGGATAAAAATTTTTCCGCCGTTACTGCAAGCCCTTCTCCACTACTCCTGTCCACTGCATGAGCTTGCTTTAGCTACCGCTCGTGTACGGTTGACCCTCACAAGCGATTTTCAAATGGACGGAGATTTCTCGCGGCCCAGAATGATGTTCCCAATATCAATGTTTACCGTTCGTACAGAAGTTGTAGAAGCAACAATGTAAAGCGCTGTCATGTGTGAAGAATTTAAAGAGGTTAAAAACTATTTCTTACCAACAAATGTATGTTCAAAGCCATTGTGCCATAGTTTTGTTTTCTTCTTGTAATATGGTGTAAACCATATATCATGCAGTTTCTTTTGAAACGACGCTAAGTTCTAGCGTTAAAGACAAAAACAAATTTTATTCATGTAGAATGGTTAAGTCTTCATGCGAAAAAAGAAGAAGAATTGTTTAAGTTGAACATGCATAATTTTTAATTTTATTTTTCCTTAATCCCATCAAGTGAGGATATTTAACAATTATTCCTCGAGGCCGAATGGGCTCTGAGTCAACCTTGAATTCTTACGAGTAAACCGCTGATCTTAATGTTTGTTGTGACACTTTCCCGATTGTAGCAAGGAAAGTGACGAGAAAATACGAAAATCATAGTTTTAGCTTGTTACGTCACGCACTCTCAATATGGCGTCGTAAGCAATGTTTTAGCCTTAACAACGTGCTAGTTTGCATAATAGGTCATTTAACTGCGGCCTTATCTGTCATCCACCTTGCAAGGATCATATATCTAATGTGCCCCTAGAAGGCTTTTTACAGCCATGAAATGATTTAGATATATCAAAACAATCGTACTTTATTTGGGGAAAAAGAATGTAAGCGAATTTTGCTAGCATTATATTTTGCCCTGGTTTACTTACCAGAGGATAATAAAGACTCACCGTAGTTGTAGGCAATATTCCTATGGCTTTGAGATAATTTAAGGCCTCTTCGACGGGACCACCTGGTTTGCAAATCTCAGAGAGAAAATCCGTTGCTGTTTTTGTTTTTACGCGAGGCGGATCCCCTGAATTACGCTCCCAGCTTTTCAATGCAGCTGTTAAAATGCAAATTATAAATGGCTTAGCCAGTTTGTCAATAAAGTCATAGAAGGAATGGACTCCTAGCTGGTAGTGACGGGTTCCTCTATGAGACGAACACCTCCAAAAACGGACGTTAGAGTTTTTCCCTGACTTTATCAGTTTCTTTTCATGGATCGCTCAACGAGGCAGGCACACAATAGACCCTCATGATTAATGAAGCTCCCAACTGTGCTCCATCTCAGCGAGAATTGACTGCATCAGAGGTAACCCCGCAAAGTTCTCAAATAGGAATATCACTCTTGTGCACTCAAAACACCTAATTCATTAAGATGGTGACAACATTGTTTCTTTTCTAAACAAGGAGTCCATTTTTAAAGCTCTTTGTTCATGGGAATACCATTAAACTCCTTATACCCTTTCACAGTGAAGTCCCCGACAGTGCTTCAGCTAAATGGGTATTAGAAAAATATAATAAGATAGATAAATGTTCTGAAAGTTCACAGAAATCTGTGAATGATCCTTTTCTTTCCTTTAATTTGCGATAGTCACAGTGTAGAAAATTTTAAACCCCTACGTTTTCTTGTTGGAAGCGACAAAGATCTCAGGTAAACAAGGAAAACAACTAAGTTATCCATAAAGGAAAAGAAGAATCATCGCCAGACCCGAGTTGTCTATATAATGAAAGGGTGGAGTGGAATGAGACCTTCACGAGCCGTTATTGTGCAAAGAAATTCATGCATGTACAGAGGTTTAGACATGAAGAAAAAGGCAGAAGTCGAATACCATTCCAGCTTTGAGCTAAAACCACGGCCGTGACGCTTCCTGGAAATCACTAAGAACGGCATCAGAAACAACAAAATCTAACGGACAAGCTCGCTAATAAGTTAAGCAAAGGTAATGGAATCTTTACAGTGAAAAACATATTGAAAAAATAATAACAACAAAAAGAATGTTGCTGAAAAACTGATTGGCCCTGGCAGAAGAAAAAGTCATGTCACAAGTTCAAAGTGAGACCACAGATCGACTCCTGGAATATTGCCACTACTTATTGTTTAGAGCTCTGCTCTCAACCCAGATTTGTAAACCTGATTAAATACTCTCTTTCTTAACCACGCACGGGTAAATTACCTTGGAAAACGACAAATTCTTGTGATGCAGTTTTCATAGCTCCTGCTGGGGTCACCTTAAAGAGAGGTGTAGGGCTAGCTGGTTGAACAGTTAATTCCGATGGAATCTTGAGATTATTTGTTGCTTTGTTCCACATCTTGTTACAAATATCGTTCTGGAGATACTTCTGTGAAAAACTTTCAAAAGACAAACAAACAAACGATAAAGTCATTAATTACTTTAAATTCGCTCTAATCGTTTCTATTTGCTATTAAAGCATAAAGCAACTCACAGGTTCACACTAGTCTTGCAACTGCCTGATTTTTTATTAGCTGTATTTTCATTTTCTAAGTTGGCTAAGTTGTTGCATACAGATAAAGGGCTTATTGACCACTACGGAACACGGACTTTTAAGACGGAATCCATTAGGAAATTGAGCAACTTTAATTTTCAGTGGACAAAAACCTTGTACCAGAATAATTTTAGGAATATTGCACTCTTTCATTTTTACATTTTTCAAGGACTAAAGATGTCATCACTCATCTGTAATAACACTAAAGAAAATTTCTCATGGGAGTCCGCGGAAAATGAATGTCAAATTTCACAAGAATTGTGAAAATACAGGTAAAGCTGAAAATTTCATGTGTAAGATGTAATTTTGTGAAATTTGATATTCATTTTCCCGCTTCGTCGGTGTTAGCTTACGTGATTGTGCCTTAGAAAACCTATTCTCGACTCAGGAAAATTGAATTGGATATAGGTCTAGTTTCAGCGGGCACTAGGCTTTGAACCATACGCCGGTTTTTGCAAATCAGAACCGTGTACTCGTTGTTTCAGTGTTTGTTGTCTATTCCGTGCGAAATCCTGTCATTTATCAGCCCGCGAAGATAGTAGTGTTTTGTTAGCTATTTAAGTTGTTACGTAAGCCTTAACCAGAAACTTTTTGACTGCATTTCACTCAACTTAAAAATCTCTAGACTGAAATGCCACCGGGTTGAAACTTTACGGAGTCGGGTTATACTGAATAAATGTTCTAAAATTTGACTCATTTTAAATCTGAACACAGTGAAGTGTTACTAGGGGCCACCAACTTACTGATGTCGTTAGATAAAGGCTTCTAATCGAACTTTGAATGACTTTTTTGCGTTTTAAATTGTGAGGTAGTAAGATGAGTTGATTTTTTTCCTAACCCGCTTTTCACAACCCACCCACTTTTTCTGAAAAATATAAAACGTCAAATTGGGCGAAAAAATTGCAAAAGATGATTTAGCATTTAACTTATTCGCCTATGAACCGCCAGGAAAAGAACAACAACAACAACAAAAACAAAACAAAAAGTATGTAAAGTTCACCAGAAAATTCCAATAAAAATCTTGTTCCACTGTGCACGATCTGGGCCTACAATCATCGTCAAAAGTGTTGGGAAGGCTGCTACTTCTTTCCTCTTTTGTTCCTTCTTTCCCCCCACCCCTGGCCAAATTTTGAGCAAAACGTCGTTGTTTGTGAGCGTAATTGTTCTGTTATATTCCAACATTGTATAGGGGGGATGGAGGATATTTAGCCAAAAGACAAAAATCTCTTTTTTGAGGATTAAACTGGACTACTTGTTGTACAACCTTCCCATTAACTACTTTTGTCTGGGATTGTAACTGTTCGAAAGGTGGATGATATCCCATATAACAGGTATTAATCGCCGACCCAAAACGTTTTCCCTGATGTTTGAGCCGTTTGAATGTTCTGAAATCGAGTATAGATTTTGCCAGTTATGGTATAAAAACACTGGTATGGTTTTCGAGTGAAGCTGACAAGAATGTAAGAACGTACTTTTGCCTGAAACAATTTTCAGTGCCAATTAGGCTAAATTATCGTAACAATCGCTTAAACAATATGATGACGTCTTTTTTACTTCATTAGGGCAAGGTACTGGGTTTGCAAACCCGGTATAAGTTTTAAAAATCATACCAGTTGCCCTTCACTTAAAACGTGACAAAATGACGAACTAGGAAGTTGCAAATTTGGTAGATAAACCCACGCAGCCGCGACCCTTGTCCTTACTGAATCTGTTATTGTCGACTAAACGTAATATATCTTTAGCGATACATTCGCGTATGTGTTCCTAAGCTGGTAACCTTTTAAATTACAAATTGTATGTTACAGGTGGGTGAAATATAAGAGACTGTGGATAAGCCGATACGAGAAACGGCAAACGTCAGATTCAAGTTGAGAATTTCTCAAAATAGAAAATGAGCAGATTAAAACAGTTCAAAACAATTCTTATGGATGGATAAAAAATTGCGTGAAACTACTAATTTATGTGTAGAAATAATGAACAATAAACGACAAATAATGGGGAAACTTGGTCACATGGTACAAACTCACGTTTATCGTTTGACGTAAACGTGATGCTTAACCTCTCTTGACTATAGTTTTGTAAATTGAGCTCATATAAAATTTGTTCTACTTTATTTTGGCCATTTACTTGGCCGAAACTCAGTAGTAGACTAAGTGACGAAATTAGACTGGTGGTTAATACGTACCTTTCACTTGGAAGGAGAGCCAAAATGATGAAGAGGGAAATAGCGCTCATGATGTCCACTTTAACGGTGGGTGCTGCTGTAATCAAAATTCGGAACTGACTTTATTAGTTTAAAGAGATGTTCTTGCCATTTTACCTAAGTTATCCCTTTTAAATAAATGATTGATTAACTGTCCCTGTTCCATAAAAACTTCTTAAATTAGTAAAAGTCCTTGTTCCCCCAGCTTTGTTAGATCTAGAAAAATGGAAAATCATTTCAAGAATTCGGTAATATTAAGTTGACAATACTCAACACGTTTTCCCGGAAATACTAGTTTACTTTATCGCAAAATCGCGTGTTCAACGACAAAACATTTATGATAAACAAACTATTCGCTATCCAAATCGTGATAGTTTGTTTTCGAAGTTTTCGTCTAATTAAAAAGGTTTGTAAATAACCAATGCAATCTCCAAAGAAACTAAGCATCTCCCTTTCTTCATTTCAAGGTTGAAGGCCTGATATGAGCTATTTTACTGAAACTCCCAGTACTACCTCATGGCCGTAGAAATATGGGCCCCCTCGCCCCCCGCCCCCTTCCGCTCACTTTTTGGGAAGATTTTATCTGTTTTAATAAAAGAAGACTTAATTTTGCGGGAAACCCACTACAGAGATGGGCCGAATGAATAAGCTACATTTAAGTACGCCGACAGCATTGCTTTAACTTTGTGCCCTCTAAATTCGCTTGTTATAGGGGCCTGTATTTTAGGCCGTCTGTAGCTTATCGCATACGGACTTACTTGGCTTAAAACTCCAAATAAAACTTATATGCCGACTAAATGCTGAAAACTAAACGTGGCAGGGAAAATTCTAGTGATTAAGTCTTTCTTTACGATTTTGATTACGACATTCTAACTCAGTTTACAGTAAGTCAGTTTTTTAGAAGCAATCGTCAAAGTTTTTAGTAGAAACCGTGAATTAAAGCGTTGACCAATTGAAAATTATCTTTTACACATGTCAACTTAATTCTTCTTGATCCGAGGCGCCATCGACCTTGGCTCATTTCAATGCTCTCTGGTCTGTTAAAACTACAAATTCCGAATTTTTATTCAACTTTGATCTACTGAAATTGCTGAAATGTTTTCGGGTTTTCTCTCTAGGTAATTAATAGGAAGATTTGACCAATGTGAACACTCGAAATGAAAATAGAGTCTGGTAGGTCAGCACACATTGATACTTACTATAATTATTATTTAAAAGTAAGGCCACTGAATGAAGTAAAACTCATGCAGGCCGAAACGTTTACTTTTATAACTTACCGCAAGGCGAAGTGACCGGCTTATATCTTTGAAAACGCTTACGTCTCAGGATATTCTGAAACAAAAAGACAATATTGAGTGCCTGTTTGCATTTCAGACGGCCCATCTTCGCTTGTCGACTTCCTCGCGGGTTCAACTATTCAAGTGTCACTTTTCAAACTCAAAACGTTCAGTGGTATTAGAAAGGGTAGCAGGTCACAGAATCTCTACTGTTGAGAAGCAAAGCGCTATTCTCTAAGGGTTGACAGAGATTTTGGGTCGCACAATATAACAATATACTCTTACGGGTTGCGAAGTATTCATTTGATGATACTGAATTCCCACCTACTACCAACAACAAGAAGCTCTATTCACATGACTTTCACAGACTTTTATAGTATTTTAAAAGTTACTTTTTTCTAATTCTTGGCTCGTTAGTATTTTTAAATAACTTAAAATACAATATAACGAAATAAATCATTGCTTATTTCTAACTATCCGTACAGTCGCAGTACTTATTCGTGAGAAATTTTTTTTTCTCAATTCGAATCATGAGTAACCAATCAGAATACAGGACTCTCAATTCATCTTGCTCGTTCAAGGATTCAGCCACACGTTCACAGAATTTCATCCTCGTGTCACAAAGTACACCAACAAGAATAATTAACAAAATTAATAGAAAAGACAATTTCACTCGTGTTCTAGTCTCAAGGGACGTTATTATGTGACGGTTATTTAGAGAGTTAAAAAGTTAGCTTTCATCTCAAACTTTATCACACTACATATTTCGTCTATTTCGTTTACATTTATATAAATAATTATCTTTTAATAACAAAAATAGCTAGCCCCAGCACGATCCAAAAAGTAATATTGTAGTTATTAGAAAGACAAACAGTCACCCGCTAAAGGATTCAGCAACGTTCACGAAATGGGAAACTGTGGAAAGTACTGCCGGATTAAATGATAAGGTATATTATTTCGTTTACATTTACGTACTTTAGATAGTTGTTATTTATTAATAAAAAATTATATTAGCTAGCCACACGATCCAAAAAGTAATATTGTAGTTATTAGCAGAGCTCTGGCGCGCGAAGCGCGCCTGCGGAGCACCATGGGTAAGTAAATCTACCCATCCCAGAAAATTTGGTAATCACGTGACCATACACCGCCCGCCCGCTGCCCGTCCGTCCGCACCACAGGGCAACCAATGTTCAATCCCACACTTTCTATCTAGTTTGGGAGCACAGGAAGACTGATATTGCACACATATTGCACATCAATGTTGTGATCAATTGACAGCTGTCAAAACAGGGTATCCGCTGACCAGTATCACCTGACCGTATCGCGGGCTCAGGTGTCGACCCATCGAGTTCGAGTATTTTTGAAGTTATCCGCTGACAAGTTACTAGTTTTCAAATGATTGCAGGGTCAAGTTTGATTTTTTTCAATTCATATGAAATATTTTGTGTTTTATATGTGCCGCACAATTAAAATTTTGATTTCAAACTGACCTTAGCCAGTTTTTACAGGCAGGGAAGACATGCCAGTTGCTTTTGACTTTTCTTACCAAGGTCACGCGTTGGTCACGCTCAACGTCCAATTTTTATGCTCTGATTGGTCAAAATTTGACAGGTGAGTTCATGCGGAAAATTTATGCAGCATCTTGAAACTTGTTTACTTTGACAGCTGAAGCTGACAGAGTTTTGTGTCGACTTGTGGTGTTTTTAACTGTCTTTTTCCACTTAACATTGTACAAAATGAAATTCAGCTTCCATCAAGAGTCTTCTGTTATTCATGGCTAGTTTGTTTATCGGGTTTTTGGTTGAGAAATACGTCGCTTGTCAAAGTCAGAATTCCGATTTCGGATGGCATCGTTTTCGTTTTTCACCTTGCTTGATGCGTAAGAGGGTTGAAAAGTCTGAAGCGATTCTGGCCTTACTTGATAGTTTTCAGTGCATCTCGAATGGTAAGCCTGGGTAATTATTTTATTTGATGTTTGTTTTTTATATCTAATTCAATAAAGTCTAGTGTAGTTTATGGGGCTATTTAGTTTATGCACGTTTGTAAGATTTGAGACAATGATCTGACCGAGTATCAGGTTTGATTATAAGCTTATAGAACTTTAAAAAGCCTTCAGACATTTTCTCACCGCAAATAGAAAGAAAACGTTCCAAAGAATATTTAGTTATAATTCTGGCTGTAAAAGAAAGCTTTGAGCGATTTTCTTGCCTCGAGTTCATCTTTGAAAAAAGCAAACACCGGGAAGCCGGCTTAAAACATAAACAATAAACAAGGATTTTCAGAGACACTCTAATACTTGTCTTCGTGAATGAAAATTGTTGTCTCTGTATATGTTTCACCGAATTATTTTCCTTTTATTATTGATTGTTAGTAGTCTCTTAGCAATTTTAATCGCTGTGCCGTTTGTTTTCAGTCGCTCATGAACATCGCTTGCAGGAGTAGTCAAAATGCCACTGACGCGTATCAAACGTTTTTGAAGATTACACATCGTTATAAAACCATTAGATAAAAAATAAGCATAATAAATTCTTTATTATGTTGAAGCGTATAACTCTATTAATCTTAATTTACATATAAGGCTATCAACTCGATGTAAGATTAAGTTCACTCTTAACTTGGACTGTTTGCAAATTATTTTTCCCTAAAATCACTTAGCCTTTCCCTGAAAAGTCACATGAATGTGCTCTAAAGTTAACTGATTTGTGGAAATTACAAGTTTATTGTTTGATTTAAATTAAAAATTCAAGTTAAAAGGAGCTTCGCTTTTAGCCCTGGCTAAATCTATATATTAGAAAGTTAAACAGTCAGCCATTAAAGGTTTCAACAAAGAAATGGCAAAGTTTGGAAAGTAATGATTTAATGATAAGTGGCAGCAAGTTAGGTTACGCCTCCTGCAAACTTAACATTGTTGGCCTACAACTCCCAGCATTGTTGTATTTTACATGTTACGTCCGTTTACACACCCTGTTGCCTGTTGTTCGTGTCAAACTTCTGAGCCAACAACTCCCAACAACAACAACAACAACAACAAAACTTTTATTATTAAACGAGTTCTGGATAAACCCAGGATATTGAGTTATAATACTACAGCTGGGACTCTCCATCCAACTCGGTCAGGCGAGGAGTGCTCTGAGGGAGAGGGTGATAGAAAGCCGGAAGAGATGGGTACTACCTAGCAAGTTTACTTCCGGTTCCGCAGGGCGGATACGCCGCGCGTACAAGCAGTGTCATTAGGATTAAATAATACCTTTCAACCCGCCAGTGTCTGTTATCGATGCACATTCGCATGAAATGGGATGTTAATAATATTAATTGATAGGAATTATCATAAACTGTTATTTTAGAAAAAAATGGTTTCTGACCCGGCCGGGTACGAATTGGGTTGGATCTTGAAAATGTTTATGTTTGACCGGATTATATCGAAAAAATCCACTATAAATGTATCACGGTTTTCTGATTAACAGGTGTTGAAGAATAAACTATTATTTTTCTTTCAGTTCTATGTTGTTTAATGGCCATTCTCCATTATGTCATAGCGATTGTTTATAATCATAGAATTCAAGAGCGTAGTTTACGCAAAACACGTTAGGAATATTATTGTGTAATAGTTCCTTCAAACAGCCTTTCGTCTCCACAAATAAAAGTGCTTTCAGTTGGAAAAGTCCGCATTTTTCCATCTCTTAGAACAGAAAATCCGGAAACTAAAAAGAGGAAATAAAAAGGGAATACTCAACAGAAAATTGTAAGCAGAGTTTGGTTAAGTTTAGTTGCACTTTATTGCTTCTTCTTTTTGTTTGCTTACATATGGAGTAATACGTACATGAATCAAATTTCTCTTTGTACTACATCGTGGTAATAATAAATCATTCTGAAGGACTTATGCTACAGGATAAGAGGTGAGCACCATTCCAGCATTGTTAAAGTTGATGGTCTTTATCTTAAGCGGCTTTCCGTCCACACTGCAGGTGCAGTCACCTGGCTCACCAAAGAAGCATGCTGTGTAAAGCGCCACTTCAAATGCAGGACTTGTGCCCACGTAAAAGCTGCTACCCGGTGGCTTGCTAGCTTTATTCCAAGTAAACTTGACGTTTATAAAGGGTGGCTGCAAACAAGCAACAGTGATATCACTTTATGATAACACAAGCGCACAGTTACGCTCATAATATATCAACCCATAAAAGGTACTCCAAGATTGTCTTGGATTCTGGCCTCCCCATCGTGGATTCCGGATCACTTGTCATTGAAAATTGGATTCTGGATTCCAATCCTTAGCAGGAAGCTGGATTTCTTCAACTGATTTCTGGTTTTTAAATCCCAGGATTCCGGAATCCATAGGTAAAATTTTTCCGGATTCCGGGATTCGGATCACCTAATATGGGGCAAAATCAGGCAAAATGTAATAGGCCACCGGCCTGACCGCGCAATGCAGTTCTAGTCAAAGACTCACATTTCACCCTTTCTCGCCATCGAATCTCCAGTAGCTCAGTGGTTACAGCATTCGACTAGATCACGGAGGGTCGTGCGTTCGAATCCCATCTGCGTCTCGGATTTTTTCCGAGTTTCCATTTGATGCAAAAAACGTATCATGTTCTACTTCTACAAATCAGAGGAAGTTTCACTTATCCTGAATGTGCGAATTGTCTTACGGAAACTCCCCTGACTGATCATGAGGCCGTGTAACGCGAGGGGGATTTCGAGACAGACATTTACTCACCGAAAACAGCTACTCTAAAGTGATATTGAAGGATAGAATGTTTTAGTGAAGCGTATCTCTATTGACCATGTTTGGATACTATCATCCTGCCATCTCACAGTCCTTTCAGATTAAACCCTTACCTTTTTAGTGGTATCCACAACATTCTTTGGAGGTGGAGAGTAAGCCAGTCTACCTGCGGTCTGTTCAAGAAGAAACTGGTACCAGTTGTGAAGACCTTTCACTACCGTTGTTCCTAGCTTTCTGTCGACGCCCAGTTCACCTGATGAAGCAATTTATGCAAAAACGTCCTCATTTAACAGCGATTGTGGCAGTCCAGGATTGTAAACAAAGTATTACTTATCCATTTAGACCGCATTGGATGTGCGGGTAAATGTATATTTAGATTTTTTCACGTAATGATGTTTATCTTTTCTATTCTTTTCCTTCCTTTTTTCTTTTGTCGTTTGTGTGATTTAAAAGATCTCTGGCCTATAGCCGAGTGTCGCCTTTCAATAGTTGGAAGTGACACTATACCCTAAAATATTTCACCGTTTCTGATTGGCCCCAATCCCCCGGCTAAATCCTTCATAACCACGTGGCGCTTACCATATTTCAAAAGCCGGGTAACAATCAACTCATTCGAAGGTATATAAAATATCAGCCTCGTTTCCAGGCAGCAGCGCTGCAGCTTAGCTGTTTAATGCGTGAATGAACTGAAACAATTGTGGAAAGAGTTCATGGCTATCCGAATACGAAATAGCAGAATTTTTGGTTCGAAGACCCTCTCGACGTATTCTTGTCTATTTTGGCGCGAATCTAGATCATAACCTATTATTCTCGCTTGACATAAATAGTTCCACAAAACTGACTTGTCAGCAAAAAAAGGCACAGACCATTACTGGTTAAAAGCTTAAACTGTTTGTCTCTATTCAGAAACATTTCCTAATCTTTTTCATATTTCATGCTCCGGATATACACAAGTTTGGTCCACTTTCGTGGCAGGGTGTCTAAACATAGACAGGTCTGTGATAACGCCGTTTTCGGCCTGTTCCAGGCTCCAAAATATTAGGGAGAGCGCATCGAGAAAAGTTGCTCGAAAATCACGGGGAAGCTGAAGAGTAAGCATTGTTTTCAACACCTCTTTCGGGTATACCAGCTCCTGGTATACCCTTTATGATTGGTCAATTTTGACAATTTATGTCAACCACTCGAGATTTTCCAAAAAGTTTCCTGGAATTTCTCAAAAAGTTGCTCAAAAGTTGTTCATAAAACAATTAAAAGTTGCTTTTTGTGACGAAAATCCTCAAAAGTTGCTCGAAAAAACAAAACCTTTTTAGGTCTGATGCTAAAATATACAAATTGTACTAACAAAAGTAAGATTTCTAAGAATTTTTTGCAATTTTGTGGCGTAAACAGTGTCGCTGAATAACTTTGTCCTCAATTAAAACTAAACAATGTAATGAGCCACTAAAATTGTCGAATGACCTTCTTCACACGAAACACACTCGAGGGCTTTCCACGTGCAAGTTGCTCGAGATTTCCTAAAAAATTTCCCCTAACTTCTCAAAAAGTTGCTCAAAAGTTTCTCAAAAAAAATCAAAAGTTGCTTCATGAACCTTGCGCCCACGATCTGCCCTAGCGGGGGAGCGGGGAGAGGATCTGGCTCCTTTTTCACAGAAAATTCATAAATTGTCTACTAAAACATTGTGAAGTATGGAAACAAGGTCAATTTTGAGCACTAAAAGCTGCTCAGATATTTCAGAATTGGTCGAAAACTAGAGAAAATTGCTCAGAATGCAAAACGTTGCTCGAAATACTGAAAGTTGTCAAAAAGTTACTGAGCAGCTTGTGGAAAGCCCCAGCTTGGCTTCGCGCAAGCAGAGACAAAGAAAAAACAAAGCGAGCGTGCGTGAACATTTTGACATTTTAACGTTTAATTAATTGTCATTTTGATACGAGAAACGATTTTTCTGAAAGTAGGCGGACTGTGGTATTTGTAAAGATGCTTACAGGATCCCCCTTTCTCTCTTCCCGTCATTTTTCCCTCGCTCGCTCGTTTTTTTACTGTTTTCCCGCATTTTTCGCTCGTCTGCACTGACCGAGAGGCTGGCACAGGCTATAAGTAAACGAATTTGGCATCAAGGTCTTGTATAATCTAAGATTAAGACTAAAAACTGTTCGAAAAATTTGTAAATAAGTTATAAGCCCTGGGTTTATACAAAACCATAAAGTAATTTGCGTGAGTTATGAGACTGGAGGAGGTTACGTCTACGTGGCCTTAAAACCGATTTCTTTATTCGGCAATATGCTTACCAACAAATGTATGCTCAAATCCAGAATATTGCGGTACTCCTGATTTTCCTTTAGCGTATTTAGTAAACCACATCGTCTTCAATGCTGCCTTAAAAGCGTTTAGGTCCTTTTGGAGTTTTCAGAAAACAAGAAAACCAACAGTCAAGAAAATCAGTGAAACATAAATGCCAAAGACAAGGAACCTGAAAATTGCGTTGTTGGTTCAACCTTCAACAGCTGTGACCGGACAGTTTTAGCTGAATCACTTTTGTTACCTTGAGTTTCTAGCCAACATGGTAAAACTCACGCTAGGAAAGAAATTATTTCTAATATCATACCTTATGCCAATCAAGAAAAGTTGGAAGAAGTCAGTGCTTTAAAAGAAAAGGTGCACGTGCAGGATGGCTTCCGCACAAAGCTTCCTCCACGCTTCTAGCCATTCGGAGAAGGATAAATATCAAAAATTCAATAAAACAAATCTTACTGTTGCTGCAGTCTTTCCATTCGTCTTCAGATAGTTAAAAGCAATATCTACGGGACCTCCTGCGACGGCGATAGTGTTGGTGAAGTTGTCCTCCTCTAACGCCTTTTGTGAAGCAGGAATTTCTGGCTTTGTCTCGTCTAAAATGTAGTTATCTAGAAGGGCTTTAGCAGAATGTTAAAACTAAGTTAGTTCCAAGAAAGCAAATAAGATGCACATACACTTAAGACGCTGGCAAATGATGTGGTGCAGCCAACCTCCCTTGCAGAAGCTGTCATACCTGTCGGTAACTGTCTACTGCCAAACGTTTACCCCCATATTCGGTACTGGATTTCTCGCAAAACAAGCTAAGTATCTTCTCCTGGCACGAAAATATTGATTGGTCGTGGTTCATGAACCTGGAATGACACGACATTTAAATTTACCTCCTAGGTGGACATCAGTAATTGGTCTTACGAAATCCCTAGAAGGCCATTCTCGAAGACCTGGGAAAAGCCAGTCGGAACGGAGTGTTCACGGACGAAACTATTGCTTATCACTAACACACCCACGGCAGTTGGAAATCTCGTGCATAAATATTTAACAATTAATTTTTTAACCTTTTAGGTGAAGGACCCGTTACGCAATATATTCAAATCAGATGGTAAGACTAAGAAGAGTAGAAAACTTGCATCGCCTCGAATGACAACTATATTGTCTGACGCTAGACTAACTGAAAATAGGTGACGTAAGCTATTTGATTTTCAAACAGAATTTCCGGTTTTCCCATCTGAAGAAGAGTTGCTGGGGAGCAACTCTCGCCAAGACATTTTCTGGCCAATCGTGAAGCGTGGACCTGAGGTTCTTGTGGAATACCTTCGGTAATTAATCCATGGCCGAGTAACTGCCAGAAGCGATGAGAGGAAGCCAGCTGTACTTGAAAGCTATCCACATCATAAGGGTGTGCTCAGAAGAACCCAGTGCTACTCTTTTTAATGCTTTCATGATACCGGGAACTTCCCTAACCTTTACTGATGAAGCCTCCTCTTCATTCAAGACACGTCGACCTCACTTCAGAACTCCTTCATTTGTTTAGGCACTCTAGCCTTTTGCAAAATTGTTTTTTGTTAATGTTGTTAAATTTTTTAATTGTTGTCACTGCAGCTGCTGTTGTTTGTTTGTTTGTTTCTTATTCGTTTTTGTTTTTGTTTTGTTTTTAACTTCAGCTTAAACTATTCTCGGATACAGTGCTTACAGAATTACTCAATTCACAAACTAATTCAATAATTAATTAATTCGAGATTAATTTTCTGTTAATAATATTACATAGAATAGAAGAGAAGTACTGTAGCTTTTACCCTTGAAGCTAGTGTATACTGGCTGCCGGAGTTTGTTTTGACCGGTCGAAGTTACAGTAAACAAGTTTGTAGCTGTAGGTGATGTGTCCACTGTCATATCCGTCCCCACGACCATGTTATTACCGGATGCATTCCACATTTTTTGACAGACGTCACCCAAGTCTCGGCGAACTCGAATTCCGCTGTGTTTGCGAATACAAAAGGAAACAAAAATGATAAATTGAATAATTATTTCAGTTCAGCCAGAAAATGTTTAATTCCCCTACTATCGTCAAACTGGCACAAAAGGTACCTATGAAGACGAAAGATTTTATGTTAAGGTACCCTCAAGCTTAATAGACGACCCCAACGACTTGTATGTCAACTGATTGCTCACACATTTGGCACGTGACCTTGAATTAGTCAAGTGAAATTAATAATGTCCAACACAATATTTGCTCTTCTAGGCATAGGATCTTTCAGTATTCCGCACGATTTTAAGAAACTACGAAAAATTATGAGTGAATTAAAAAAAATGAACTTTTCCCAGTATCTCGTTTTTAAAAACGTTGTGTTAAAGTTGCTTGATTGTGGAATTGCGCTGGATACCCGAGCCTTACAAAACTAAGGAAGACATAGTTGTCATCAATGGTAATCCTAAAATCAACTAATTTCTACTCGATAAACCGACATCTATAGGGGGTATATAATGGTAAACTGAATTCGAGACTTTGCGAGACTGCGAGACCCCGGTTTTAAAATTCGAGACCAAGACTTAAAAAAATTCGAGCTTTGGAAGATATCTTATTTTATTTTATTGGCTTCGGTATATTCAAATTATGCGATCATAAGCTTTAGAGTGGATTTTTTTTCACGTGAGAATGCATGTAAATTTTACGCGCGTAAATAAAATAGAGAAAATTATTATGGAGTGTCATGCGCAAATGTAAACGGAAAAGTTGTGCTCGGTTCCCTTTTTTCGTTCACGCGCGCCCTTTCATACATTTTCTCGACGACTTCGGTAGTGAATACATTGCCTCTATTTGAGTCCTATTTTGATTTACGCGCGTAAATTTTACGCCACAGTGGAAGTCCACCCTTACATTGTTTGATGTGCCTAACTGAACTTCCTTCAGATAACTTAAATATTTCTCGCAAAACGTTAAGCGTGAATTTCCCAAAAGAACAATTTTTAAATTATTTCGTTGTGAGTGTTGTCAAGCTCCGTAAAATTAGTAGCTCTTGCTTCAAAGGAACAAGAAGTCACTCAGTCCGATAATTTCGGATGGATAGTTTAATAATTCCTTGTGGCAACATTGGTAGACACAAAGGTTGCGTTTCTTTGAGCTAATCTTTTTTCGGATTTAGACAATCCAGATTGTTTGGATTTCTGTGCTAACTGGAACAAAAATCTCAAATAAGATTGACCCATACAGTAGCCGTATGCTTCTCTAATCTTCTTCTCAATTTTAACACATAGTTTTTTTTACCTTTTTTTTTCTATTAAATTAAGCCTTTTCTCGTGGAGAAAGGAAAAATAAGATGCTCTTAAACTAGTGGTGGTTCATTCAGGGACTCGTCGACTCGACTTAAAAAATCTTGTTCCACTGTCCATTTTTAGCTCTTTGGTTCCTTCTTTCCTCCGCCCCTGGCCCAATGTTGAGCATAACGTTAATATAATGTTTGTGCGCGTAATTGTTCTGTTATCATATTGAATAGAGGGGATGGGGTATATTTAGCAAAAGAGAAAAATATATTTTTTGAGGACTAAAATAGACTACTGTTAAGTTGTACAACCTTCCCAACTACTTTTGTCTTGGATTGTAGCAGTTGTTTGAAAGGTATAGATGAAACCCCCCTATAACAGTGCGCCGACCCGAAACGTTTTCCGTGATTTTTGAGCCGTTTAAATGTTCTTACTGAAATCGAGTATAGATTTTGCGTGTTATGGTATAAAAACAGGTGTGGTTTTGGAATGAAACTGACAAGAGTGTAAGAACTTATTCTTGCCTGAAACAATTTTCAGTGTCAAATACGCTAAATTATCATAAATTTTTAAACAATACTGATGTTGACCTCACTTTGACTTCACTTGGACAGGGTAATGGGTTTACAAACCCGGTATAAGTTTTAAAAATTATACCAGTTGCCCTTCACTTAAAAAGTATTAAAATGACGACCTAACTAGTAGATATTCCCACGCAGCCGCGACCTTCCTCCTTACTGAATCTGTTATTGTCGACTAAACGTATTTTGTAAGCCATTTAACCAAAGTTTTAATTCATAACGCTAGAATCTCCTTCGGTCAAGTCTGGAAACACATTCGCGCATGTGTTCCTAAGCTAGTAGCCTTTTAAATTACAAATTGCATGTTAGAGGTGGGTGAATCATAAGAGACTGAGGTTGAGCTTCACGTATTAACGCAACGGGCAAACATCAAATATCAATTCAGGTCGAGAATTTCTCAAAATAGGAAGTGAGCAGATAAAAACAGATAAAAACAATTCTTATGGATGGACAAAAAATTGCGTGAAACTACTAATTTATGTGTAGAAATAATGAACAATAAACGACAAGTATAATGGGGAAACTTGGTTATATGGTACAAATACGAGTTTGCCGCCAGTTTGACGTTAACCTCTCTTTATTTTTGCTAATTGACAGCATATTAAATTTGTTTCATTTTATTTTCGTCACTTACTTGGCCGGAATGCGGTAGCAGACTCCGGGAATCGCCAACCCTAAAGGCGTTAAGCTCACTAATACCTAATGCATACCTTTCAAGTCACACAAATAACTTCTGACATTCACCGCTTTCAGTAGTTAATCCTCGCAAACATAACTTTTCTGTACTTGCACTTACGAAAAAAAAATTCCAAAGTCTACTGAGGACTCCCCCGAATCTGTAGAAACAACTGAATTTTTAGTGGTGAAGTTAAAACAAGTGGTTAATACGTACCTTTCACTTGGAACTAGGAGAGCCAAAACAGTGATGAAGATGGAAATAGCGCTCATGATGTCAACTTATCGTTGGGTGCAGCTGTAATCAACACTCAGAACTGACTTTAAGTTAAAAGAGATGTTCTTGCTATTTTATCTCACCCTTTTATATAAAAAAAAAACCTAGTCTATGGCTCAAAGTTGAAGAAAAAAGCAGTGGCCACGTCTTAAAAAGCAAGAGAGGAGGGAAAGATTGCTTTTTTTAGCAAACCAGAACCTGATAGATTATTTATCGATGGACGATTTGTTGCCTTATAGACAAATCTACGTTTTTGGACCCAGTTTATTTTAATTGACTTGTTTATACTTTTCATCAGGCTGTTTTTGTAACGGGAGTGGCATGTGTAGGTTAGAACAATTGGGAGTAGTTTGAAACGATTGTCTCAAGCTCTGTACGTAGCAGCGTATTATAGGTAATAAATACCTCGACGCTATTTCTTTCTTTCTTAAAACTTCGTTGTGGTGTTTTGTTTTTTTTTTTTCCTTTGTTGCTTTTTGTTTTGTGAGTGTGTGCGTTTTGTGTGTGTTGTCTACCTACGTGTTGTGTGTTTTTGCACCTCAGTTGATACCTCTTTTCAATTTTTGTGTACCGCTGCGGTGGAAAATTATTTGTATGCACATAATTTAGTTTTTTTTCACTGATCCCATTCATGAAAGAACATTTGGATTTTAAATTACTTTCTCTTAATGTCGAGGGATTCGATCCGCCACGAAAAGGAAAGCCCTTTTTACCTGGCTAAATGAACGGAGGTATGTTATCTTTCTTCAAGAGACCTATAGCACTGTTGACGTTGAAGACACTTGGAGAACACAATGGAGAGGTAAGCTTTTTTTTTCCTCATGGCTCTAATCATAGTTGTGGGGTGATTATTCTAGTGAAAAGTGACTTAGATTTTAATCCAAGAACTGTTAGTTGTGATGACGAGGGCCGCTCCATTATAATTGAAGCTGAGGTCCATGGTTCGCCATTTTTGTTTGTAAATATCATGTTATGCTCCATACAAGGTTCAAGACCAATGCCGTTTTTTTGATAAGTTAAACAAAAATATTGAAGACTGCGTCGTTAATGAAGAGCTTAGAATTATTCTCGGAGGAGAATTTAATGTAACACTCGACTCTGATCTTGATTGTTCCGGTGGTAGACCTTTTAGAAAAGATTCTGTAAAACGCATACAAGACTTATGCCTGGATTTTGATCTGGTTGACATTTGGCGCATACGAAATCCGGACTCTAAACGCTTTACGCGGCGTCAAAGAAATCCTTTCATTCAAAGAAGACTTGATTATTGGCTGATTAGCGATGTACTCAAGTAGATTAAGGCCTGGTTCTTTACAAATTCCTCAGAATTTTAAAGGGGGGTGGTCTAATGTAAAGTTTTTTAAAGATATCCCAGGTCTAATAAATTAATGCTAATGATAACTACGAAATCTTCAACTTTCATTTTAAAAATTGTTTATAACTGCATCACGTGACCAGCCACGCCCTGTTTTTTCGAGAAATCCTTTGGGTCGAAATGCCCACTATGTAGAAAGCAAACCGTTTTCTCTTTGTAGGTCCAAACAGTGGCTACTGATAGTCTTCTTGTAAAAACGGGTGGAATGAAACGAAGTCATTTAACGTCTTTCTCCTAACGAAAATTTTATTAAGAGGAGGACTGGCACTAGTCAATGAACACCAATTGCACCTACAAATTGTAAAGATTCCAACCATTCCAGGCTGATTTCGTAGACACTTTGTAGGGTCAAAGTTTTTATACAGAGAAACTGGAGTTACACGTTTAGGAAGTGGTGGGCATCGTTAATTGAAATTTATGAACAGAAGAGGGCGTGGTCGATCACGCGACGAGGTAATTTGGATTTTTTTTTCAAGTTTTTGTTAAGGTTAGTTTACTTTACCACCTGTTTTTCAAGGAGGATGTCTTTAACAATAGTTTTTGGAAAATTTGCATAAAAATCGCAAATCACGTAGAACCAGGCCTTAATCTACTTGAGTATGCCAAGACGACACTGAGAAGTCCGATATCATTCCTTCGATAAATTCAGACCATTCGGTATTTTTTCTCCATTTTAACCGCATAGACAAACCAAAACACGGCCCCTCTTACTGGAAGTTTAATGCTAGCCTGGTGAATGACGTACGACGACTCTGTTGCACTGATAAATGAAAGTGTGCTTTTGTGGTTAGAGGAGTTCAAAGACGTTATAGATAAAAGGCTGTTGTGGAATTTAATTAAGTACAGGATTAGACAAATTACAATAAAATACAGAAAAGACAAAGTACGTGAAAGGAGAAGAAAAATCTCTGATATTGAGGCTTCTCTGAACAGTCCGGGCCACAACCAGAACTGGATATACGATGACGTCACCCAAATTTTCAACATGGCGCCCAAACCAAGGGACACGAATCAGGGTCGCTTTTCAGCTCTTTGCTACGCCTAGAAATGACCCTTTCCCACATTACCTAAGGAGCTGTGCCCTTAAATGATGAGGAAGCACATGAGTGTGAAAAAAATGGCAACCGATGAGGTTTACGTGTTCTCTAGAGGTAAAACGGCTGAAAATGGGAGTGTTTCAGCTCAAAGATCTACCTGACATGCGCAAAACATTTGAAGATAGAAAGGCGTGTTTCATTTTTTTGATCTTTGAAAAATTTTTTTTGAAATCTACATAAAATTTGCTTGTTGATGGTGGTTTTGTTGTCGCAGTGCAAAGCATTTTTAACATAGTGCTGTGTGTTTGAATTTGCAATAGTGAGTTGCGCCATCTACGAATTTTTGTAACGCCATGTTCATTTTATGTTCTATTGCAGTGTGTTGGAAGAGCACGTTGTTCTTTTGGCATAAAGATGCCGGTTGGGTGACAAAATTTTATCGAAAACCCGAACTGTCCAGATTGCGTTAGTTGGTCCAAGGAGCAATGTAGTTTCGCCACAAGGGATTGTTGTTTGACCGATCGAGCAGACCTTACTGTGGGACCGACATAAGCTCCGAGAAGTCGGTCTGGGTATTCAGAAGTATTGCTACCAACTGAACAACTAAGTAAGTGTACTTTGCTTTTATAGTGCGACAGATTGTATTATTTCAGATTATTTAGATAACAAAACGGTACTGAAATGTCAGGAAAGACTGGAGATTGCTGCTAGAAGTCACTCCTAAGATAACGCCAGTCCTAAGATAACTAGCCCCTAATCTTATTAAATAGCAAACTCAATGATAACCTCAATTCCTCTTAGACCGTACACATGATCAAAATTTCATACAAACGTAAGAGAAAATAACCTGCGAGAGCATCCAGTTTTTTCGGCTCTAGTTTCACCCACACGAGAAAAACTGGATGAAACTAGAGCAAAAAACCGGGTGCTCTCCCAGGCTATTTTCTATAGGCTATAGAGAAAACAGTGTAGTCTGAGTCATAATATGGTTTCTGTAAATTTATTATTCATATTTATTTTTTAGTACAAAACATGTGAATATCAAGAGAAACTTTATGGTAACTCTATAATAAAGACCCAGAAATAAAAATAGTTTTTTTAACAGTCAGTTTGCTAAAGATTAAATTAAAGGCTTTGAACCAATGAAAAAATGATTGTTAGCTTAATAACTATTCATTTTTTTATATGGAAATGTGCCAAATAACCTCAGACTATCTTTCCTCTAAAAAGCCTGGTTGGTCAGTCATGTTTCAAAATGTTGTAGTGTTCTCAACCCGGGACAGGTATAAAAGAATTAGACTGAAACATGAAAAAGTTGGAGCTATTTTATCACTACCATGGTGTGTTCTGCTTTGGAGAACTCATTTGTC